GGGAAATTTTTATTTTCACGAGAATTTTCTAAGCGGCTGTTGCTTTCATAACAGACGGAGTTTCCAATTAATTTTAATCTGTTTAAACTAAATATTTATATATTTTAAATGGGGAGTTTAAAATACGGTTGAAGTTTGTCGTATTGTGAATAATTTATGTTACCCTTGTTCAAACTAATCGATACTCGTGGTGCATTTGCAGGCAGTTTTAATCCCCAAATCCTCAGTTGCGTGATACAAATACATATAAAACAATGCAATCCAATAAACGTTTAATCGACACTTCGTATTTAATTTTCAGTTTAATACGTGCTAGCAAACTATAAAAAAAGCATAAAATAGGTCATGAAATTATACCAAAACATTTTTTTTACAATGAAGCAAAATATTCGCCGTGAATATTCCAACGAAGCGAAAGCTACAAAATTCAGACAAATATCTTCTGCCAACTTTACGCCGCCTTACAAAACGAAATTAATGAAGTTACCACAGCTCCACCAAAATTTTAACACGTTTGTGTATAATGTACAAGCCCGTAAATAATAAATCACCTCTCGGAAACAACTTCCTACACTCATTCTCACGAGTCCACACCTCTCTCATTATGCATTTAATATTTTATAAGGAAAAGTGGAACTCTCACGACAATTCTGCTCTAATTCATCTCTTAGACGTTCCGAGACGGTTTCGTGCCACATAAAGACTTTATGTTCAGTCGGTTCGTTGTCGAAAGGAAACCCGTTGTTATCGTTTGTTTATTTTTGTTTTTCTTAGTGTAAAATAAATTACAAGAAAATTTAAAACTAGGGCTCCTCTCTTCCTACTCGCGTTTCCATTATTAATATCGCTGATACAGAAATCAATCAACACTGTTTGAATTTTTAATGGTTCTAAAACGAGTCAGGCGTCCGCTCTGTTTCCCACGCTAATAAAAATTCTATGTATTGATCTACATAGTACTACTTGTTGGGGTTCTCGGTATGCTTTTGTAAGCTACTGGGATAGTGTGTGAATTGAAATTAAATTTATGGACGTCTTTTTCGACATCACACTTTTGAATCTTTTTTTTTTTTAATTAATGTCATATTGTAGGTATAGACAATTTTAAAATCATGAAAAAAATGTCAAAAACTTTTCTTTTCAGATTGTTTGAATATTGTAATTTTTGTGTTTTTCTTTAAGAAAAACTTTGTTTTTTTTATTTTTTTAACACCCGACTTTTTTAAAGAAACACACTAAACAAGTACGGAAAAAATAAACCAAGTTAAAAGAAACAAAAATTTGAAGAAGAAATTATTAGTCCTATGTTAATACACTTATATCTTGAATCTTAAGATCTAGAAGAATTTTTTCAGGTGAGATCTAGAAGAAGAAGATCTACTTTAGTACTGGCATGACTATTTTGCGCTCATGTTCCTTAGATCTAATTCTAAATTTTAAATTGATCTTGAAAATTTAAAAAAAAATAGAAGTCATGTTGAACAGATTCCAAATGTAAACAAAATTATAAATCTTTTCTTTTAAAATCACTCCTACCAAATTTTTGTGAAAAGTTACAATATTTCGTAAAGTCGAAAGGGGGTCAAATTTTGGAGTAAATTTTAATTTAGTAACTCTTAGACAGAATCTTCTGGATAAATCTTCAAAGACAACGTCTAAGAAAATTTTCAGAGAAAATGTCTTCGTTTTCATTTTTCATAATTCGTAAGGTTTGATTACACGATTTCTAGTTTTCTTTTTATTTTTCAGTTTTTCGTTTTCTTAAGAGTTAAATTTTTCAATTTTTCGATTTTTTCCTGTGTTTAAAATTGTTCGATTTCTCAAGTTTTCTTTTCTCAAATTTTGAACACTTCAGTTTTGGGAATTTCTCCATTTCTGGATTTTTTGAAGTTTCAATTTTTTTTTCGAATTTTTCGGTTTCTCGATTTTTCGATTTCTCGAATTTCGATTTCTAAATTTCTAGATCTTTTGATGTTTCGATTTCTCTGTTTCTATTTGCAATATTCTAATGTTTCGATTTCTCGGATGTTTGATTTTTCGACCTTTCGGCTTTTCGATTTTTCAAAAATTAAATTTTGGAAATTTCGATTTTTCTATTTTAGAATTTTCGATTTTGCGAGTTTCAATATTTTTTCCATATATTCTTGGATCATTTGGATATTTGGGTTTTTGATTTTCGATTTTTATATTCTCGAATTTTCGGTTTTCCAGTTTGTCGAATTTTCGTTTTTTTCGATAGTCGATTTCTCGCTTTTTTTACGTTTTTCAAATTTTCGATTTTGCGATATTCGAATGTTTTTAATTTCGAATCAAAAGACTTGGTTTTTCTTAAGGATATATATTTTCTGTATTAAAAACTACGAAATTTTGGAAGAAAAAGTTGTAAAATATTTTAATTTCAATAGCGGAGTCAGAGCCCAAAATATCGACTTTTTTTGAAAATTATAAATTAACCCCTATAAATTAAAAAACAACTGAGTCAGCATGACCAATTCGGTCCATTACTCTTATTAGTATAAAAAAGTGGTACACAATTTGGACATTTTGCAGAAATTTGTATACCAAACATAAAAAAATCAAGGTGGATTCATAAACCACAAGCACAAACATTTGAGTTGACGTCATCAAATTGTTGATTTGTATGATTAAACAAAGTTTGATTAGCATTTTACCACCTACACGATATTTTTAATATACAGGGTGATGAAAAAATGACGTATGTGATCAATGGTACGTTGTTAAGAACACTTCGAAAAAAATGGTTAACATTAGAATTTTAAATTTTCAATCAAATTCACGTTAAAACATCAGAATTTTGAAGTAAATTCATTAGTTTTGAATTTTAATATTTTCAAAAATTTGGTTCACAGATTTTTTAACCATTTTTTCGAGTTCTGCAGAGTGTGCCTAACAAGATATCATCGAGCAACTATATCATTTTTTTATCACCCTGTATACAGAGTGAGTCACTAAGCGTACGATATCCCATTAATTATTAGAAGTAGAAAAAAAGTTGTTCCGTGCTTTGAGATATTCTAAAATTGTTTGTAAACTATACAGAGTGTTCTGTTTTTAAGACGTAACACGCGTTATTTAAATTTTTCTGAAATTTTTTAGTAATGGAAGAGTTCACAAAAAAAATCAGAGTAGGGTTATCTTTAAAGTCTGTGTTACAACGTTTTGTGGAAAGATAAAGAAAGGCACCCGCTTTGTTATGGTATAAATGAGATTAAATTTTCATATACAGAGTGTTTATAAAAAATAATTTTCAGACATCGATATTTCAGTTTTTTCAAATAGAACACCCCATTATATTTTATTACTTTTTTAAGAGACACATCGATACATTAGAAGAATGGGGACAAAAATAGAGTAAAATACAATGATAAAGTACAGGGTTTTAGATATTAAATTATATTCATAATTCATATTATACATTAACACTTTGTATATTAAAATTTGATGTAGTTGATAGCACAACAAAGCACAAACCTTTTTTTATCCTCGTACAAAATATTGTAAGACAGACTTTGATTTTTTTTTCTAATAATTAATGAGATACCGCTTCCGCGCTTAATAACTCACCCTGTATATACAAAATTTGAGAACAATCGGTTCGGTAGTTTTAGAGACAATCCGTTTAATAAAAATCGACAGAGATAGAGGACAGAACACGGAAACGGGAGTCCTATTTTTTCATTCTCTAGAAAAGAGTAATGAAATGTAGAGAAAACATGGCAGTAGCCATTTACCAGATGGCACCCTGATACAATACTCTCTTACAAAAAAACGAAAACATATCCAAACTCCTAAATTATCAGTTTTTCAGATCTTTTCTTAAAAATTGGAAAAATGATTTCAAAAATTTTTATTTTCAAATTTTTTTTTGTCTTTTTCGAAAGGCTTTGATTTCTTTCTTCTTAATAAATGTCATTTTATTGTTTCAAAATGTTAAAGAAAATTATCAGTTTGTAAAAAGGACAATATCAACATTTACGGAGTAAACAAAATAATTCAAATTTTTAGAAGCAATGTCAAACGCAAAAAAAAGGCAAAAAAGAAAATACCTTATTCAAAAGTTGAAAAATCACGTTGAACATGTTTTTGAGCAACAACCGAAAATTTTCAGTAAATGAAGTCAAAATTTTCAAAAACATGAGATTTTGACGTAAAGTTTTAAGAACCTAAACCCAACTCTTAGAAGCTCTAATTTTTTTGTTTCTTAAGATCCATTCTCTTTTTGCTGAAACCTCATCAAAAAACCAATAGCTGTGTCCTTAAATAGTGGATAAATAATATTGAGAACAAAAGTTCAAAATATAGAGCTTTAAACTTAAAGTCCAAAAAATAGGCGTAAAATATAACACAATAAGGAAAACGTAAAACTTTCTTGTAAAAATTTACTCAACTCTACATTTTCCAAAAACTCGAGTTCAAGATAATTCTAGAGTACAGTCCTTAAAGAACCGTATGATTTTGGTCTTTGACTTTTTCCTATCTCTAATAGTTAATGAGATATCGATCCGGCGCTTAGTGGACTCACCCTGTATATACAAAATTTGATAATAATCGGTCCGGTAGATTTAGAGATCCGTTTAATAAAAATTGACAGAAGACAGAAACGGGTGTCCTATTTTTTCATGCGCTTGAAAAAAGTCATAAAATATCGAGAAAACATGAAAGTAGTCATTAGCCAGATGGACTGTATTACAATACTTCCTTACACAAAAACGAAAAAATATTCAAATTCCTCAATCATCACTCGTTTGCTTAAAAATTTGAAAAATTATTTCAAAAATCTTTTTTTTTTTCACATTTTTTTTGTCTTTTTCGAAAGACTTCGATTTCTTTGTTCTTAAGGCAAGCATCACTAAACAGCGTAGACACAAAATTCGAAACTTTAATTGTGAAAAGATCACGTATCAAAACATAGAATTTTAAATCTTGAAGTCAAAAAAGTAGATGTAAAATATAACACAATAAAAAAATATTATCATTACCTGACCACGTGCTTGTGCCTCTCCACCCAATACTTGATAGCCGACCTCACCATCAACTCCTGCTTTTTGGTCAGACCATTGGGTCCAACCCCCCCTGCACCGAAGTTCTGAAGGGCAGCTCCCCGGAAATGCCCTCCCAGTTCCTGCCGGGTACTATAAACCCCCTTTAGATCTTCATTCTTGGAATTATAGTCTGAAACCCTAACTCATAGACAAAACCCCAACACCACCCAAAACCTACCATTCTCTATTAGATTGTCTTGAGATGTTGCGCTTGGAGCTCGGAACAAATCGGCACTCTTCGGAACGTACGTATCCAAAGTCGCCGATAGTTCCATCAGTGGCTTCATGATCTCCTTCAGGTGCTGCAGCTGCTCGCACGCGAAAATCAACCATGAACAGAAGAGACTGTCCAAGAGATTCGCATGGGCGAGGGCGAAAAACACGTAGTAGACCTATTATTACCACGAAATAAGACAACGATTGCTGGAGACAACCATTGGTACTCACTTGGAATATGAGAGTAAGCATGTGGGGCATCCCGGACATGGCGTTCCACGGGTACCACGCTCGCACCAGCAGTCTCGGGATCGGCTCCGAAATGGTCAAATTCTCGTTCTCTGGGTCCTTAGTCGTGTGCACACTCTCCCCCACGAAAGTGATGGATGTCCAGGCTGAAATCACCCATTAAGACCCATCACCGGCACCCCCCACACCTACCGATAGCACTGAAGGATGTCCACACTATGATAATGTACAGCAACCGCCTCATCTTCTTCAACGCTAGCGCGTGGTACCGGTTGTTGGATTCCACGAAGAGAGGATGACTGTTGGGTTGGTTCCAGATACCTAGGGTCCTGTAGAACAGTTTCGACCGCACCGCGAAGTACACGAATTTGGTGATGCAGTGGGTGAAGAAGAGGACAGTGATGGTGTTAGCGGCTAGGTCGTTGACGTCGCCTCGTTCGAGGACCAGGTTGACGAAGTTGCAGCTGGAAGCATGGGTGGAGTGATGGGCGGAGTCGGCAGGAAGGGTGGGGCTTACCCGTATTGTAGTAGCATGAAGACTAAGGTTACGCAACAGTAGCCTAATCTTAAGGTGTGTAAGGCTCCGGAGTTGTCTGCATGGTAGTTCAACATGAAGTGACCCGAGCCTTGGATGAGTCTGATGTTGGGCATGAGGTCGGCCACAAGGCCGGAAACCTTGAATTTCATCATCTGGAACGGGGATGGGGTGGTCAGACTGGTGGGGTAGTTTGTTATATATCATTATTATTATTTTATTTTTATTCAGCCACTTAAGGTAGGTATTTCACTTGATAGTCTGCGAAACTGAATTACAGATGAATATAGAAAATATAGCAGGAGTTGAAGACAAGATGGGTACAAAGAAACCAAGAAGATTTCGGAATAACAAGTAAATTTAGAAGAATTCATTGGAAAAGGAATGCAGAAAAGGGATGAACCAAGGAAAAACAACACAAAAGAACAACTAATGAATAAAGAAGAAATGAAGATGTAAAGAAAAACAGAACTAATGAAGACATCAATTTTCACAATGTTGAAATCCTAATTGACCGAGATAATTCAAGATGGTAGAAATCCAAAATTTTCGCAATATTAAGGATGCTAAAAATAACTAAGGCAAAAAAATGGAACTCTTCCAATCTACCTGAAATTGAGTTTCTAGACTAACTTTGTAGTGCAGAATTCATTTCTGCCATCAGTTGATGAATACCAATTCGATGTCAATTCCAATCGAGTTTCAGTTTTCATCTCAAAACATATTTTTTGGATTTACAAATTCACCATTTGAAAACGGTACTAGATCTCGGCTTATGGTTCGTACCAGTCGATTCCTTGGGGTTTTTTTAGTGAAAAAAGATGTCGTTTGAGCCGGATAAGTCAACCGTTCGAGACTGAGAGGCAAATAAAAGGAACGATGTCATTTTTCTGTAGCATCATATACAAAAAAAAAAAAAAAAACTCAGGAAGCTTCGTGTGACAATTCTAGGAGGTTCGAATTAGAGAAGAAGGCTTAAAAAAGTTTCAGAGACTACCGAGTACACTTGGAACTTTCCATATATATAATTTTTAAAGTGACTGAAGTAAGTCAACGAAACATAAATTACAATTTGTATCAAGTAGTAGTAGCTTTCTATGAAGCACAGTAGCTTTTTATTGTATGTACATTTTGAGATTATACACGAATAGAACGAAATTCGCATCCAAATTACCCCTCAATTCATTGATGAGATCAGTAAATAACCATTGTCCCAATCTAGACCCTTGATGTACATTCGGAGGCACATTGTGTATACATCCGTAACAACTGTCAATTTTTATCTGTTTTTATTAAATTTAGAATTTCTGAACTAAGAACTATAAGACAGTATCATTATGTAGCATGGATAAAGACACGATTATGCAGATTTTTCAATTCAATGTCCAAACAATTTTTGTTTAACAACTTTAAAAAGAATAAAGTTAATTCAAGGTTTTATTTTTAATATCCTGTATAAAAAAAAACTTTTATTTTATTATAACCCCTATAAGTTGAAAATATATGTAGATAATACCAGCAACAGTGTAAGAAAAAAGATTGTCCCATGGCCACACTGAACCGGCGACCTCTGACAAAAAAAACTAAAGGCGGATTCATAAATCACAAGTACATGAGTATATTATTTTAGAAAATTTAAATAGTGTTTAATAAACTAAATTGTGAGATTACGTCATCAAGTTGTTGATACAAATGATTAGACTTCCTTACATAAAAACGAATACTTAAAAAAACTTGAGTCAAGGTCTTGAGTTTTATCAAACATTTTTCTTAGATCTAATTCTAAATCCTGATCAAAGCCACGTGAGTACATATTGGATATTTTTGTCCAAAATTATACATGTTTCCTTTCTGAATTACTAAAATCCTGAGAAAAATCAAATTTCTGTAATAGCGTTTCATTAACTTAAAAACAAATCCCAAATTTTGACTAAAAATTTTAAGTCCTCAAAGTACCGAGATAGCAATAAAAAACACGATCAAAGGCAGCCACGGATTTGTGAAGATTGTCTTTGATAAAAGTTTCGTCTTGTCAAATTGCTGTCAATTTGTAAGTTTGACTTGAAAATGCAGCAATCAAAGACAAATCTTCAAAAATCCATAGCCGTTTTTGATTGTATTTTTTTCTGTTGTCCCGGGGAAGTTTTCAACACAATGTTTACGTTTTCAAAAATAAGTCAAAAAGAACATGAGGCAAGTAAGATAGGAGGATAAATATTTTTCTTAAAATTTTCTTTCTTTTAAAAGTTTCAGATTCATTTGAGGAACAAATTACCAAAAAAAATTCAATATCTTAAGAAAAACAAAGCCTGTAAACAGGAAGCTCTTAAAAATTATTCAAAATATTAAAATTGTGTCAAAAACGATAAGACATTAAATATTCTATTCAATCATCATAACAATTACCACGTAATCAGAAATAATTGAGTCCATTGGCAGTCCTAAATTTTTAATTAAAATTAGTATTATGATGTTTTCTATAATTTCCAGTTGTCAACTGCCAAGATTGATAAATTTGCAAAATGTATCTAAAACATCCTAAATTTATCACATGTCACAGAATTACTTCAGTTATCCCAACATAAACGCAAGCTAGTAGCTGCTAAGATAAGATTGATTTTGGCAAATTACATACTTTCCAAGAAAAGAGAGGGTTGGTGGGTGGGGCTAATAGCTGTTAAGATAAGACCAAAGTTAGTTTTATTTAAGCAGCCACTAACCCCACCCACGTGCCCTCTTTTTTCTTAGAAGGTAAATTATTTGCCAAAATCAGTTTTATCTTAGCAGGTACTAGCCCCGCCCACCCACCCTCTCTCTTCTTAGAAGATGTTTCATTTGCCAAAATCAGTCTTGTCTTAGCAGGCAGTAGCCCCGCCCACCCACCCTCTCTTTTTTTAGAAAGTATATCATTTGCCAAAATCAGTTTTATCTTAGCAGTTATTAGCCCCGCCCACCCACCCTGTGTTTTCTTAGAAGGTATCTCATTTGCCAAAATCAGTCTTATCTTAGCAGCTACTAGCCCCACCCATCCACCCTTTCTTTTTTAGAGGATATGTCATTTGACAAAATCCGTTTTATTTTAGCAAAAAATGATCAAATGATCTCTAGTGTTTAGTTGGTTATGCTTTAATGGATTTTTTTTGTTGGTTTTGTTTTTGTATATAATTTACGAATGTCGAAAAATTGAAAAATCGGAAAACTGAAAATTGAAAAATCGAAGAACTGAAAATACGAAAAATTGCAAAATCGAAACAAGTGGAAAATCGAAAAATTGGTAATCGAAGAACTCAAAAAAGAAAAAGTTGAAACATGAAAACTAAAAATGTGAAACTTGAACATTGAAAAAATTAATGAATCAAAAAATTGGTAGGAGGAACCGAAAGAGAAAAATTAGAAAACCCCAAAAAAATGTAAAATTCAAAAATTACAGAATCGCCAAAATTGTAAAGTCGAAAAAACACTAAAAAATCGAAAAATTAAAAAATTAATAATGGAAAGAACCAAAATTCAATAAAATTGAAAAAGTGAGAAATTTTAAAAATTATTATTACAAATTTCATATTTAAAATGAAAATTGGAAAAATTGCAAAACAAAATGTGAAGAAACGAAAAATTAAAAAACTGACAAATCTAAAATTAGAAAAATCGAAAACATATTTGTATAAAAAGTACGACCAACAGATTCAGTCATTTCTGATCACACGGTATGAGGTGGTACTAAATAACTTGGATAAAGTATGCTTTTACTACTATTTGATATCTAGTAGGCCATGCATTTTGTTTGTACGTTGATACTACTTACAGATTGAAAAGTTCAATTTGAAATTTGACACATGTTGCTATTATTATTTTCGCATGTGACATGAGCACAGCATAATCAATTATTTAACTATGTGTGACAATTGTTTAAAGATACTCACATTTTCCAAAGTTGTACGATTCTTTCAGGACTATTGTCTAAAATTATTTTTAACTATACAGGCTGTTCTGTTTTCAAGGCGTTACACACATCTTAGTTTTTTTTAATGAAAAACCCTATATATCTTTACAAATTTTAATTTACCCCTCCTTAGGCACAGTTTAATTTTGAAAGTAGGATGTGACGTTGGGATGTTTCATTTAAAAAACTAAGTTATATGTTACACCTTACAAACAGAACACTCTGTATAGTTAAAAATAATTTTAGACTGTATTCCTCAACAACTATGGTCTCCGACTTTTTTCCTATATCTAATAATTAATGAGATATGAGATCACCCTGTATATTGGTAAGTACATTTTTTTATATTTCTTGAAATATGTTTTTGTAATTTTTGTTTCGTTTGCTAGACCTTTTTACGAAATGTCCAAATTCACCATTAATATAGAATTTTATTTTAAGCTAATATTTTCGTAAATAGAGTAGATTTCGACAGGATTTGTAAATCTTTATACAGAACATTCCACAGTTGTGTAAAGTTGGTTGCATACACAACACAATTTAAATTCAATTAAATACTTAGAGCTTGCATTCCATTGTAAAAAATATATTGTATCTGGACTTCTCTAAAGGACACATTTAATTAAAAGTGGCTTTTGGTGTCACATGTTTCATACCGCAAAGCATAATCAAACTAAATTAATTTTCTTTTTAAATGTCACTGTATTTGTACAAAACTTTTTCAAACTGTGATCAATTGATTGAATTTATTAAGAATCTAAAAATCGATAAATCCAATTCCAAGGAAAACGTGGCTCGTAAAAGGATTTCTTCATAAAAGTACAAAATAGGAGCTAAACACTACCGAACTGATAAAATTTAGATTCCAAGATAAAATCTAGAACACCCGGTATATTAGCCTAAACTTATCGAACAAGACAGCGTTGAAAAGCGTTCTTTGGGCAAAAAATACTAAATTCCACGATTTTCTAAAATTAAATTCCGTCTTCACCTCGCATTAAAATCTCCAAACTTGTAGCAACCTACATTTAGATTGAATATTTCTCATTAACATCAAAAAAAGGGATTTAAACAGAAGACATATTTAATCGATTTAAGCACGTATTTTCACATATGACATTTAAAAAATAGATTGTATTCAAAGTTATAAAAATCCAAAAATTGTTTTTTTTAATATTATACATAAACCACACGCCCTTTCACCCCATAATCATC